CTTGACGGGCCTACTGTGTGAAAGTAACATCTAGAAGACTCCAACCTGCATGTCACAAGTAATTAAATTATATGGATTTGCGTTTGATGCAGTCCCTTTTTCCGAGAAGACGAAACAAAATACTTAGGTGATAGTTACAAGTTCACAGTTCGCCGATTGTGCATTTTCTGCACACAATACAGCAAATTTCATCGACACATGATATTTTCATCGACAAGTCAGTACAACAGCCTTCAGAGCAGGTTACTTTAATTCTGGTCGATGTCATTCATAAGCTGACGTTTGTGAGTAAATTACACAGTGTTTGGAAAAATCGAGCTTTATGTGCACGCACGGCAACATAGGATCATAGCTTCTTGCAAAACGCAGCTTTCAGTACCTAACCACTTCAACGGCAGTCAATTGAATTGGCTTGGTGTACGGATTTTAAACATGACATTCGAAGGGGAGGGGAACGCTCACTTTAGGCCAAAATGCATGCAAGGCAATTCTGTACCGTTTTTAAACATGGAGTAATCGTTTGCTTCCTATGAAACCTTATAGATCGCCTCTTGCATTCTGGCATCGATGCTAAGCATTTTGAGTGTTGTTGAAGTACCTCTTCAAATATTTCTGCTACTACAACTCGTTCAATGTTTTTTATTGAATTCATTCAAATTTACCTTAGCTGAAGCTACACTATTGATCACGCACAACCGTCCGCCAATACACCCATGCGTGTGTGCCCCCCACGCTATCCCCTTCATTCACCTGGCCCTACAGGCATTTGTGCGCTTACAGGCTCACTCAGATTATATTGGTCAACAATCCACATTCTTCAGACACCGCTTTTTATGCACAGTTGTGTCTGCTGTTCTTTTCGTCGCGGGTATCAGTGCAGTGTAAACTGGCCGATGCAAACATATGTCTCTATTCGATACGAAAGCGCTTTATAATCACACAAGGAATTACGATTTTATGGAGCGGTGCCTAGTGCGAGGTCTAAAAAACGCTGAACCCTCCAGTGTTATGCAAAAAAGAGCAAATGCTACTGCAAGCTTACCATTACAATTTGTTCGAAGACGTGGGCAAGAGGAAGAAATGAGAGGTAATAGTCGCCAGGTTTGATGTCCTAAAAGAGAATGCGAACGAAAACTGATGTCTTATTCAGCGAGGAATCGCCGAGTGAAAATAAAGTGCGAGAAGGATTTCTGATCGGACTACGATAGTCAAGATCGAATGTTGGAATAGTGAAAGTGCAAGCGGTAATACGCTACCAAGTTCCTGAAGACACCGATTACAAAACCTTTGTCTTGTCAAGTTGAGTAGATAACCTTTCACATCTCCACTATGCCTACTCCACCGTGGTGAAAGATGAATTAACCTAGAATTGAGCACGAATATCAAAGTGGTAGGTTTACGAAATAGCAAAATGATCAGAGTTCAAGAAGACGAAAGAAAGGTCGGTACATGGCTTCAGGTTTTATTTCGCAAAATATGAAGCAAAACAAAACTTACAACTTCCTGCAAGTCCATATCAAAACCAGCGATGACCGAAACAACCATGCGGTGAGTTACCATCACACCTTTGGCTCGACCTAAAATCGAACAAATAACAATCTAGGGAGACGAGCGGAGTTAGTGGAGAGGAAATATTGTTTATGGGAGATGTAGAGCCGATTACAGTCGACATTTGGCCAAGAGCTAACTTCACTACGACTAGACAGTTTTTAACTATCATCCAAGAACCTTGATGCCATCTCCCATTCGGTAACAACAAAAAAACAGGTCAATTCAGGGGTAAAATTTCGTTGAACACTGAAATGCACGAATTTGAAGCTGTCACAAATTGCGTATTTGACAATCATAATGGTAGCACATGGATAAGCCTGACAGCCGCAACAAGTGTGCATCGTTAATTTTGGGGTCATCTAAACAAAGCATACCCGTTGTCCCACTAGTATAGCAGATAAGATGAAGATCATCGGGTTCCGGAAGTTTTTCTGGTTTGGCTTCTTCTGTGCCCAATGCCTGAAGGAAGGCGACATGGGAAATAGCATGAAGTGGCGCGTAGTAAGCAACTACTTTTGAGGGAACGGCGTAATGTTATTACAGATGATAATAGTTGTCAACTGGTTTTAGTAATCAGCGAAAGACTGCAAAAACGGTATTGTAGAAAGCCCTAAGGAAAATTCTATCAGTTTCAAAGACCTTCCTCTTAAACACAATGACTTAAAATCAATGCGCATGCGAATTTGCATTGAGTGACAGTAAGAATACTCGGTTGGAAGACTTGCGGTTAAAACGAAGGCACAATTTCCACTCGTAAGACAATTTGCTACGAAAGTTATTTAGGCACATTTATGTGAAGGTTACAGGTGAAAAGTCCATTGATCTTTAATTCAATGAACAGATTTAGGCGGAGGATTATATTGTGTTAGTTGAGGTTAATTCGACTAACTCTCCCGACTCAGGCATGAAGAGGAAATTGATCGAGATAAGTTTCAAAGTAGCGGTGATAAAAATTATATCTAATTCTGGATATCGACAAACGCTCAATTAACATACCAGAACTTCATCGAAGGTATGAATTTTGATCTTGTGGTCTTCAGCCTCGTTACGCAGGGCATCAACTTCGTCACCAGGCTTGATTAATATAATGTGCCTCACTCGATTTCCCGTTGTAGCGGAATCTCCAAGAATATTTCGGACTCGGACAGCAGAATCACATAGGCACACGGAAAGTTCGGCTAAACCAAAAAAAATTTAAAAACACCCCGAAATTCTTTGAGACATGTTCAAAAAAGTGCACCTTCATAACCAAAATTTGCCAAATTTTTTTATAGATTTCGAAAAACCCACCCCTTTATAAAAGTGGACGTTTTAACGCTGCGTGTGTAATGGTGGCAATGTGTAATTTTAAAAACTCACTTTGCTCCAAAATATGTTTACGTGCGATTTCACCGAGAGTGTCATAGAGAGGAACAATGACAAAGCCAAAAGTGGAACATGCCTGTTGAGTAAGTTCCCACTTAAAAAAACGGAACGTTTTTAGTATTTATATCGGATTCAACAAGCCCTAATACTAAGAGGAGCTTACTTCAACACAGTTTGTGGCGTAGATACCAATGCAAAAGATGTCCTTCAAATCAGCAGGTTCAAGTGTTTTAAGGCCGGACCCCAAGCGACAAATTCTGCGGTATGTCTACATGTGAGACGGAAAACAAATTTCAACGTCTTACTTTTGAAAGGTAAGCTTATATATAACCATAAATTAAGAGGTGAAAACTTAAGAAGCGTTGACATCGTTTACCGTGTCTTAGCGCAACACATCAGTGAAAATTCGAAGTAATGAACCAGGGAATCAGAATATTAACGAAATGGAATTCAAGCGTGTGCTTACGCGTTCCCCATCACTAACTTGTAACATAAAGGAACCGAAACAAGCTAAGTTTAAATAATTCTTGTTAAATTATTATTGTAACCATATTTGGTGATAAATTAAAGGATAGGATCACAGGACAAAAGAAACCTTTTGTGTTTTGGGTAACACGAAAAGATGACGGAAATAAACGAACCTCAGCGTATGTTATCCATTTGTACGGAGCACCAGGCGCGGGACGCCACCCAAGGCAATGGTTGTCCCCTGTGAATGAACAACACTACTTTAAAATGAAGATATAATGGAAGAGAAGCTAAGGTGAGACCAAATTAAAAGACCGCGCCTACGAACAATCAAATTTAATAGGAAAAACGGTACACTGAGTCTAGAATGAAACGCACAAAAAGATACGAATAAGGACCCGCTTTTATTAACACGGTCTATTTTATGGATTGGACATAAATTCACGAGACTCAGTGCACATTTTTATAAAAAAAACTGAAAACTCATTCAACTTAGAGGAGCACCAATACAATGTTTTGATCGTTGCAGATATAAGATGGCGTCTCTAGAAATGGTAAAATACATTTTCTCTAGCTGAAACATTGTCGGAGACAACGACCTGATACCATTATTTAGGGACTTGTGCTGAAAAACTAAAACTTCCATGAGAACTAACAAGTTGATATCCAGTGTAAAAGTATATCCAGACGAACACTAGAATAATTTGATTTAATTAAACTGGGCTGGTTGGCATAACGAAGGAAATAATTGCCTTAGCTGCTCGAAAGGCCAGAGGCGCCAAATCAGGACGTACTTGCAACACTTAAACCATGTTGGAATACTTCATGAAGAGTTGAAAGTTCTCCCATCATTTTATCCACAAGAGGCCTATCTTTAATAAATGGAGATGTTCTGATATCATGCTAAAAGAGCAAAAAAGATATCGTATAGAAAGGAAAATAGAGGCAATTAGCCGCAATTTACTGCAGTGTGATCATCAAAATTAAATGAACTGACGCAATCCCAGCACAAATCTGTGGTAAACGTACTTTGTCATCAAGAACATAACTTTGGTTGTTGAGTTTCTCATCGAGTTTCCGGCGACGTTCTCTGCTTGACACCATTGCCTTAATGATCCAAGTAAGGCAAAGGACTCCGGCAGCAGCCGCAAAGGCACAGCCAGAATAAGTGGAAATAGCTTTAAAAAAATCAAACTTTACTTAGAATTTTTAACCCAATTATGCAAAAACTGAAACAAGGACCGAAGAGTAGTGAATGCGATGTGGCAGCAGAGGCTGCGAAACTACATATTGAGAAACCGGAACTCAATCACAAAAAAGAATACAGACCAACTCGAGCAGGGGCAACTTTTATCGGTGGCTTTTAAAAATCGGGGCATCGATAGACGTCGCTAGATAAGCACAAAGTTAGAGGAAAAATAATTCATAATTACAAGAATCAGTGATATACTTTTAAGGTAGAACCTGCATAAAACTACACCCCATTATAAACCAGTAGAAAGAACATAAAAGACCCTAAAAAGGGAAGACCTCCAGAACGGATAACTGTTAAGAGCACGTACCGCTCCCCGACATCGCGGACAGGTTGTGGAACAATAGGTCAGTGGGCGTCCAACAACTAAGACTGAAAATTCGCGATATATTTAAACAATGTTTATAAGGTTCTATTTTCTATGGTTACATTCCTGGAAAATTTGAATAACAGCAAATAAAAAAATCACTTTTAGGTCAGCTAAAACTAAGACAATTTTCCATCAGTATTAGAGACTTTCTCGAATTTATTTAATTGCTTAGCCTGTTGTTGAAAAATTGTGATACCCAAAAAAGTAGTTAAACGAAGTCAGTTCAGCTTAAGGACTCTAAGATACTTAATCTCTTGTCATCCAAAAAATATTTCCACATAACGTAATCCCTTAAAGCCGAGCACCAAACCGTTACAACCTGCAAGCTCTTTTATCTAGAGCGCCTACACCTTGTTAGGTAAAGGTATTGTAGTAAGCACGCAATTTAAAAGCATCTAACCATAATTTTGGTCACGAAATTGTGCAAAAGATGCTCAATTTCCCTATATGTCTTGTGGTGTTGAATGAAGGTGTATAGTTAAATAATAAACCAATAGTTTGCTAAAGGCGGAGGAGTTTCATGCAAGAAAATGCATGTAATATTGGAAGAATATTTTTTATTGTTTTGATGGACCACCATATGAATTTGCAGCAAAGGCGTCTCCTTGAGTTGTTGTATAAATTTAGTGTCTTACATTTGCTGTTTACTCTCTTTATAGGTGTAATATTTTTTAGAACAACTTGCTCATATAATTCAAATTGACGAATTGTCCTGACGGTTTTTTGGTTCCAGCAGGCCTCTCAGTGAAATTTATACTCAGTTGTTATTTGTACCACATTATTTACATGTTGTAGCATGAACCGATGGAGTGGAAACTTGACAAGGAATAGGTGAAAGCGCGAGATCTGCAATAATTGATAGTGCCAATAAAAAATCCCGATTGCATTTTCTGTTTTATAAGTTTAACACTAAAAAAAGTATTATTAATGATGTTATGATCTCATGGGAACCACGGAATTACCTCCTAGAAGGTGCACCATATGTCCATATCTATGAGTGTCAGATTATAAAAGTCACATCAGTTCATATCATTACAGTTCTCGAACTAAATACGATTTGTAAGGCATTCAGTCTAGTGTGCACTTAACGCAGCTAATTTAGTGGAAATGGTGAGGGTTAAAAGATGGACACAGTTAAAATATCTAATTGTACGTTAATAGCCGAAATACGGAAAGGCAATTTTTCTTTGTATATAGCCATTGATAATATCAAGAGGAAACTAGCAAGTTGTCAGGACGAAATAATTCATCGTTCCTGAGGACACGCGCTCATGTGACTGATTTAATCGTGATCGTTATATTTTGTCAAAAATGCAAAGTCAAAAAGATCCTGCAGTTGTGTTATAAATTTTTTAATAAATTTGTAATGCCCACTAGCAATTTAAAGCCACTCGTCGCATCAAAAAAGCTAATCCACTTTAAAGGCATGTTTATTTAGGCAGGCTAGTGCTTAAACATATCATTAGCGTCCACTTATCATTTTTAAGTTTCCCCATATGTACTTGCAGATATAGCGATAATAAATTGCGCCAGCTATTCACCGAAGTACGCTTCAAAGCTTTTACATTTCAAGCCGCATCTTAGTTGGCAATAGATGTAAAATTCGATCAAGAGTTACCTTTTTTCACCAATGAATATTTTCAAAATAGTTGACCAAGGTTATTTGATTATTTTAAACAATTTAGCCTACCTATACGAGATCAAAGTTAGCTGATTCATCTATTGCCAGATAAAACTCGCTTAGGTATGATTGCGAAGATAAAAAATCTCTGAACCACTACGAGGGTTGCTAAAATACATCTCATCCGATATTATCTAAAACACCTTAGGCTGATTGCTGGCCCAAAAAACGGGTTTGACTTTATGAAAACTGATTATTTGACTCGAAAGTTGCCAAATATCTGCACATTATTGAAACGGAATTGATTTAGAAATCCCAAAAAAGAGATTACTTTGCATGTTAGCCCAACTGAACACTTAAATCCATTGCATGTTCGGAAAGTAAATAGGTATTACGCTCCTTTAGACGATTCATTCCGGTGATCCAGTTCGTTTATAAATTAGAGGTCAGGTGTGGTGGCCATGCACCTTTGATCCCTGACTTCACTTCACACAAGAAAAAGGCTTTGTCTACAATCTACACTGTCAGCTACTAAAAAGTAAACCACTTTTTTTGCAATTGCCATATGTCAATGCTATTTTTCTTGTCGAACAATTTTATTTCTTCTCGACATGTACACCACCTTTGTGTGAAATTGTGGTGGATTCTCATAGACCCTAGTCACAGTATGCCTTACTACAGTCACCCTTAATTCCAGTTCCAACTGCTTTTAACTTCATCGAATAAATAGGTATTTCTTCCCCACTTCTGGTTCACTGCTGCCCTTCCTATAAACCATACTTAGAGCATTGGTTCAGCTCATGACTACAGCGATTATGACATTTTTGGTTCGACCTGAAGAATTCCCAAGCCCGAGTAGGGAAAAGACTGGCACAACGGAACAGTCCTCATAGATCAATCACAAGACAGAACCCACGTCAAGCGCCTTCCCTCCGAGTCACTCACGCTGGCCACGCTGCTCATTATATACTGCACCTCAGTTGTGTCCTTCTCTGGTTGGTTGCTTATCTTCCTCACATGCTATTGGAACACAGAGGGACACAGGAATGGCTGCGGCCAGGTGGCCAAACATGTCTGTGCCTTGATCCGACGCCACTGTAGAATACCCGAGCCCTAATAGGAAAAAGACCGGTACAACAAAATAGGCTTAATTGACAAATCACAAGCCACAACCACACGTCAGGCGCGTTCCATTGAGTCCACCACGTTGGCCACGCCGCTCATTATATACTGCACCTCAGTTGTGTTCTTCTCTGGTTACCTGCTTATCTTCCTCGCATGCCATTGGAATGCAGAGGGACACAGGATTGGCTGAGGCTCTTCGTTGTCCAATATGTCTGCGCCCTGATCCGACGCCACACTGCCTCCCCCTCAGGAGTGAAGCTGTCCTCAGCTTCTGGCTTGGTTCCTTGCACTGTTGTTGATTTCCAGTGTTGGTAAAATATCCAGTTCGACACTCCCTGACACCCCACATCTGGCAGGATAGTGGCCCATGCGAATAGTTGACGAGGGACTTTGCTCTTAAGACTTGCAGGAAGGACTCATCATTCATCGAAGGTCCCTTCGCAGATGCAGTCCAGCTGGCTTTCACTGTCCAAGTCGTCGTCGCTGAGTTGCCAATGCCTCTTCAGATGCAGTAGCCCTAATCCCGGGCAATGTCTATGAATCCAGCTTATTGGACATCGGATGACCGCCATGACAATTTCAGCTGGCATTCAAGGGTCTTCGCCTCTGTTGACCATGGAAGAGAAAGGGCTGGGGTTCGATTTGCGTTATTCGAACGCATCCGCTGCCACCAATGTAGAATACCCGAGCCCTAATAGGAAGAATACCGGTACAACAGAACAGGCTTTATTGACTCAATCAGAAGCCAGAGCCACGCGTCAGGCGCCTTCCATCCGAGTCCACCACGCTGGCCACGCCGCTCATTATATACTGCATCTCATCCATGTCCTTCTCTGGTTGGCTGCATTCCTTTCCCACATGCCATTGGATCGCAGAGAGACACGGGATTGGCTGAGGCCAGGTGGTCCAACATGTCCGCGCCCTGATCCGACGCCAC